AGCACGGTCAAGAAATTTAATACTCCTCACAAAGACTTAAATTTACTTCTTGACACTATGCATTTTTCTAAGGAAGGAATAGGTTTTGATAAAAATAAAGCTAAAGATAATGTTGAGCCACCACCTAGACAATCATCTAAGGTTCAACATAAGAAACCTAAAAATGAAGATAATAGAAAACCTAGTCAACCGAAGGACACTAGACAACCTAGACTAAAACCTAGGAATGAAAATGGTCATAGTAGACAACCTAAGAAAAATGATTTTGTGCATAAAAATGAATTTTCTCAAATAAGAAGAAATAATGCTAGAGCACCTAGAAGAGGCCAATTTCAAAATTTCCAAAAACCATCATTTTCACAAAATAGGAACAAAATGGTTAAACCTTCTAACTATTATGAACCTAGGCACATGTACAACCCCAATGTAGTTTGCCATTATTGTAATAGGATAGGCCATATTGCTCCCGTTTGTTACATTAGGCATATGCACCTATCACAAAATCAAGCACACTACCATTACACACCTAACACCCGAGGACCCAACGTAAATTGGTTACCTAAAACTCATTGATGTGTTTCATAGGTATGCTTGAAGGCATCAAGTGTACTTTGGTACCTTGATAGCGGATGCTCCAAACACATGACCGGGGATGCATCCAAGTTTCTCCAAATCAAACCCGCTAAAGGAGGAAACGTAGTTTTTGGAGATAACAGCAAGGGAAAGATCATAGGCATTGGTTCAGTAGGTAAATCTGAAAACTCCTCTATAGATAATGTCTTGCTTGTTAAAGGTCTCAAACACAATCTCTTGAGCATAAGTCAATTATGTGACAAGGGAAACCGTGTGACTTTCGATTCAAAATCATGCACGGTAGAACGCCTTAGCGACAATAAGGTCATTCTACGTGGTGATAGAATCGATAACATTTATATGGTTAACTTAGACAAATCTCCTTCCGACTTTTCTAAGTGCCTCATGAGTAAAGAGGAAGACACTTGGTTATTGTAACACCCGCCTTCCGTGGACCCGGTTCACCCGCGACCCAACGGACCGGTAGGGTTACATGGACAGTCCGAGAACCATCCGTTACGAAAACATCAATGATTATTTAATAAGAAAATGGTTAGGTTTTAATTAGAGGAATAAATGCCAGGGAGTTACTCCCAAAACGTGTGTAATGAAAGTGCAGAGTACTTGCGGAAGTAATTAAATAAGTTCAGTCCAAACTAAATAACGACAAGGGTGGGTTCACGCCCAATTGATTAATGAAGTTATTGAAAGTAATTAAGAGTTCGTCCGTGCGCCGCCCATCTCCCCATCGTCACCGCTCTCCAGGGTTGGCACCTGCCCTGTCATGTCTACCTGCGTGTAGCAAAAACAACTACATGCTCAGCAAAAGCTGAGGAGTGAATCTAACAAAAGAACATGACGTGATAACCCATATGGCTATACCCATATCAATACCTGTACTTAACGTACGGGACACCACACGTTACTAACTGTTTAGTTTTCACCTGTTAAAGCTGTTTCGAATAACAAGGAACATAACGATGATGATATGACTTGGTGCATGACTTAAACTATCAGGGACACCCCTGGCTTAGTCTCACTCGACAGGATCACCCCTGCACTCTGGTCATCGTCCTCGAACGGTAACGAGCCGGGCACGATGAAAACATCGTGAGTGGACTAGCAAAACCGGGTAGTAGCCGTAACCTGACTACTATGTACGTACACAAGCCCAACATGATGAAAACCCGCTGGTCCCCAAAGGTTCCTGGACGGGCCCACTGTAGTAGGCGCTTGAAGTCCTCCCTACAGCGGTATGCATATGATGGAAACCTAGAACATCCGTCTAGAACGAACATGTTGGAATGAATGCATTGATTAAAGAATATTCAATTCTTACATATGTGCTTGAGTATGATTTGTTCAACATGATGGCCCTGGGTTCAGAACTGGCTGATAATCGATTATCTGCTGTTGATAATCGATTATCATGCTGTGCAGCTTCTGACCCCAAAGTCCTGCAGGCTGTGATAGTCGATTGTCACCCTATGACAATCGATTGTCAAGTTGGTTTATCAGGAAAGTCCTA